GAGGCCGGTGCCGCTGCTGATTCACCAGTCCCGCAGGGTCCCTCCCGCCGTCCCCGCGGAGGAAGTACCCAGGCGAGCGCCCGCCAGGGAGAGCTCGGGTCGGGCGGGAAGGGGCTTTGTGCTGCAGTTCCGGGCCCGCAGGGCCGAGGCGGGAAGCGGCAGCCCGGGCCTTGTCAAAAACGCGCGGCCAGGCTTCGGCTCCTTCCTCATAGAGCCCAGCACCCTGCAGCCTTCCCCAACCTCGCCCAGCCCGGGTTTCCACCGCTGCTGGGGTCGGGGGGCGGGGGGCAGGCCTCGATGCTCCAATCTTCTCCGGGCGGGCCGGCCGCCCTCCGCGTCCCCGAGCCAGTCCGGCTTGAGGGCTGCTTCTCCAGAGCTCGTGGTTCCCGTCCAGTCCTTACCTCACGTCATTCGGATCTCGCCCGGTGAGCTTGCGAATATTCTCATCCACGTTTTTTAGGCTTTCTTTGGCCTTTTCTAACTGCTCCTGCAAAGTTCTCACTGCGACCGCCATCTTCCACCCGCAGCAGGCTCCGAGACGGCTCTATAGGCCTCACCGAGCTGTACCGCGCCGCGAGACGCAAAAGACTGACAGCTGGGCTCACCCAATCACGGTAGACGTTATTTTCCGGCCTCAACCACTCGGCTACCGGAAGAGGGTGAAAAGGCGAGGCCTTGTGACTGTGGGCCAATGAAAAGTTGGCCAGTTGGCCAGCTCCCTCCCCAATTAGCTGCGGGTGGCTGGGCCCGGCTTCTGGCGCAGGAACGGGGAGGGCTTGGAGAATCCCTGCTCTTTTGAGCTGTGATCGCGCAGCTTTGCAGTTCTGCAAAGGAGATCGCGGAGCTTTCTAGCTTTTTAAACCTATGATGTGAAACGCCTTATATTATTTTAACCACAGAATCACACAGGATGGGGCAGAAGCGAGTCTACACCCTTCCTTCGCCCTCCCCTCTGATTTCCTTAGGAAGGGGCGCGGCCATTATGTTGATGCGCATGCCCAGAGGGGTGGGTGCGCACGGCAGTGGATTAGGTTGAGCAGAGGGCGGCTAGGGCGCGTAGGAAAATTCTGTCAATAACGGCTGATACTTGAGCGGGTTTTGTTGTGGCTGGTGTGTGAAACACTTTACACGGCTTATTCTTCAAACTGAAAGCTTGCGTAAAATGCTTGTTACTACCTGACAAAATTGAGCCTGGACGTAATGTAACTGCCCGTGGGTTATGCAGGTAGAATTTGAGTACTGTGATCAGACCCTGTGCCAGGCTGTATTAGGAAAAAAAGGCAGCAATGTATGCTTTTCCTTCTTCATTTGGTCTAGTTTGTTGGTTTAATATAAAGTCTGGGAGAGCAGCCCTATATGTGGTGTGTGTGTGTTCTTC